AGTAAATATATTTGTTCCTGGATCTTGAAATAATGTATAGTGAAAAATAAGTTGATCTAGATGTTATACTGTACACGGTGTAAAAAGTAGGGTCATCAATAAATAGTTTAACATTGGTCAAAAAATGTTAATGCACAAAATGGAGGTGAAATTGTTACCATTGAAAATGACTTTCAGGAAACTTAATTATAGAATATGCAATGTTAACACAAACAGTATAAGCAGATACATAGTATTCCTAATCACGTAAAGTCAGGATTGCACACAGTATACAATTATGATTACAATTATGATGAACACTGTTCATTGAAATATTAACATTTCAAGGTTAGAGCTTTATGGCCATTTTAACAAGTGCAAGCTATAGGTAATTATCAGTTGTAGGTAATACTACATCATGTTTTGCCAATAGTTAAAGAAAATAAAATGAAGAAACAAATAGTTATGCAAGCACATGTAAATTACAGGATTTAATACCAAAAAGACATGGTAATCAATAAAAACAGTTATATAAACTCCCTACCATATAAGTCCAAGATCAACCAATCAAATCCAACGGTGTGTGGGACAGCATACAAACGGTTGGTTGGATGATTAGGGTATTAACCTTTGGGGAACTTTATGACGCAGTTATTAATAAATGTCTGATATTAATATTTATCGATGAGGTGTTTCATATATTTATACTTAAAACTATTGTATGATGATTCTTTGATATTGTCAGGAATACTGTTCCAAATACATGGACCAGTGAATTTTATGGATCTCTGAGCCAAATTTGAGCTTGTTCTATTAACAAAATAGGCTCCTCTACCAGCCGACCGAGTATTATGTCCATGGATATCACTAGAGTTTGTGAAGTAGTTTTCAAATGCATCCGGCAAAATACCACATTTAGATCGAAACATAAATTTCGCAACTTCAAATTTATATACATCCGCAAGTTTGAGAATACTCATCTGTCTGTATATAGGATCTAAGCTTTCCCGCATACGTGCGCCACTCATTAATCTTATGGCACGATTTTGAAGTACACAAATCCTATTGAGATAAGTTTTACAAGCAGAGCCCCATGCCACAATTCCATATTGTAAATGGGAATAGAAGAGTGAAAAATACACAGTTTTTAAAACTTTTTTTGGTACAAATTTTTTTAATTTAGTCATGGCCCCAATTGCCCTTGAAAGCCGACCAGCTAGTTGGTTGATATGTGCTTGCCAGTCGAGTTTTTTATCCAGGATGACTCCAAGGTATTTTACACAATCATGGTTAGTCAATTCAAAATCGTTTAGAGTGAACTTAGGGTTGTAATTGGAATTTTTAAGCTTTTTGAAACAATTAATTAGTAAGACTTGCGTCTTGTTGGGATTAACGGTGAGTTTGTTGTGAGTGAGCCAATCAGAAATATTATGAAGTTCAACATTAACTTTTAGTTCCAAGTCGGACAGATTTCTTGTAGCAGAGGTGGAACTGGTGTCATCCGCAAAAAGTTTGATCGAAGCATTAGTGGCATGGACAATATCATTGATATGGAGCAAAAAAAGGGTCGGGCCGAGTACAGATCCCTGGGGAACTCCTACAGTCACATTTGCTTTCAGTGATTCAGTACCAGATATGTTAACAAATTGACTTCTATTTTCCAAATAGCTAGCAAACAACTTGTTTACAACACCGCGAATTCCATAATGACTTAATTTACGAATTAAAATTTTGTGATCTACGGTATCGAATGCCTTTTTCAGATCTAAAAACACACTGCACCCTACAAATCCATTTTCTACAATGTCATAGTACTGGCTCACAATATCTAAGATAGCATCTGATGTGCTATGTTCGTTTCTAAAGCCAAACTGATCGTTATTCAATATTGAGTATTTATCAAGGAAAGATTTTAATCTCTTTAGTAATATTTTTTCAAAAAGAATAGACAGACACGATAAAATTGAAATAGGGCGATAATTTGAAACCATATTCTTATTCCCGGATTTGTACACAGGCACCACTCTAGCTACTTTCATATGACTGGGGAAAATTCCAAGGGACATAGAGGCATTAAAAAGTTTGGTTAATATGGGACTAATAATTTTGTTCAAAAGCTTCAAAAGGTGTGTTGGGATGTGATCATGACCCTCCGCCTTACCAGATGCTAGGGAATCTACAAACATTTCGATCTCAGCAGGGGAGGTCTCCTCCAAAAACATGGACGACTGATTCGGATGTTTCAAATATTTCAGTAAATCATTGGTGTTGGAGAAAGATGACGCCAGCGATGGCCCTATTTTAGAAAAGTAACTGTTGAACAAGTTAGAGAGAGCATTCGGCTCTCCAATCAATCTATTTTGGGTATCATCAAATAAAGAATTGGGATGAGATTTTTTAGTTTTTTGATTTATGATAGAGTTGATGGTCTTCCAGGTCATTTTCGTATCATATCTATGCTTATCAAAACATTTTTTGTAGTAGTCCTCTTTGGCTTTATTCTTGATATGAGTAAGGGCATTCGAATAATTTTTATATTGGCGCTTTTGAGTATCAGTGCCATTCAAAAATAATACCTTGTGTAATTTATCCCTAGTTTTGGCAGCACGTAAAATACCTGGAGTAATCCATGGTTTTCGTTTCAATCGAATTTCTTTCCTGCTTATTTTTTTTAGGGGGGCATGTTTATCGATTAAGGTCCTGAGATGAGAGACAAATTCATCAAAAATATTATTAAAATTTTCAATTTGTATTACCTGTGGCATAGTTTCATTGCAAAACACAATTTGGGCATCATTCAAAAACTGGTCCGTACTGAAATGTCCCATGTCTCGTTTGAGTTCTGCAACATGCTGAGGGGGTGCATGTTCCAGGTCAATCTGACATAGAATAGGATAATGATCAGTCGTAGTATCGTTCAATACAATTGGTTTCATATGTTGATCAGTGATGTTAGTATATATATGATCGAGTAAACTTGCAGAGTTACCAGTCACTCTGGTGGGAAGCGTGATCATGGGAATTGTGGCATGGGACTGCAGCATGTCTCTTGATTATTCGCTATTTGATTAAGATATATATAATACCTTAACATAAAATATTTAACTTACTAATAATTTGACAAAATGGAGAGAAAAATCGACGAACTCAAGAAAACACTGGATTTAATGGAACAGAGAATAACAAAAAATCTGAAAATCGAGATTAGGGCCATTGTGGGAGATACCATCAAGGATCTTTTAGAAGACTCCATCAATGAACATGACCAAAAGATGTCCACCCAAATAAGTGAGTCTGTTCTTAATAATACTCAACACATGGCCGAGCGTCTTGACGTTATGTTCAAACACAGTGGCGATATGATGAGTAAGGTGGATAAATTGATGGAGGAAGTGAGTGGGATCCAGTCTAGGAATAACACCCTACAACATAATGTTGAAATCGTGCAAGCCAGTCAGGACTTCATAAATGCGGAGTTCGAAATACAAAAAAGTTATGTAGCGGACCTTCACAACAAAGTTGAAAAGTTATCGGTCTCCAATAAGGCTCTTGAAAATCAAGTCTCATTGCTTCAACGCAGATTTGACAAAGACTTTGAGGACTTGGCACAATACACCAGAAGGGAAAATCTGGAATTTCACGGCATTCCGTACAAAGAAGGAGAATGTACTGATGATATCATCATAAAAATGGGCCAGCTTTTAAATATAAAAATAGATAGACTGGACATCTCTGTCTCTCACAGACTCCTGCGGAGAGACAAGTCTAAGATTCCCCCTATTATAGTTCGCTTCACAACCAGGAACAAAAAAAACGAATTTTTGAGTAATAAACGCAACATTTCCAGCATTTCCAATTTTGGAGTCACCGGCATGAATTTCCTGTATATAAATGAACACTTGACAGATTATAGGAGTAATCTACTATACAATGCTCGTGTGGCAAGAAAAACAAACAAATACGAAAGACTTTGGACTACCAACGGAAACATTTATGTAAGAAAAAACAGAGATTCTCCTAGAATTCCAATTACTAAGCTAGATGACCTTCAAAAATTGGAATAAACAACTGTCTTCAGAGCAAGTTGAAATTTTATAATTGGTATAAAAATGGCTTCCATAGACTTTTGCCCCTCTTGTGAAAAACCAACTTCATTTAATTTCATATCTTGTGATAATTGTAGTGCTAGAACATGTTCTATGTGCTCTTTTTCTGTACATTCAACCTCAAACTTATCCGGCACTAGCCATTACTGTTCTAAATGCTATGAATTGATAATTCCCGTTCCTATCAACTCTGATTTTATAGACAGAGAAACCCATGTTTTGAATACAACTACCTTCGACTTTGAAAATGTTGAAAATTGTGTTTTTCTTAATAATCCGAAAGATGTGTTAAAATCTCTCACTCAATTAAAAAACTCAATAGTTTTGGCTCACATGAACATTCGTTCTATCCAAAAAAATTGTGATGAGTTGTCAAGACTTGTTTACGAACTAGAATCTACTCCAACATTTATCGCAATCTCAGAAACGAAACTAAAATCTAACCCTGTGACTAATATCAACATAGATGGGTATGATTTTTACCACACACCATCCAACACTAATGCTGGTGGTGTAGGTTTGTACATAAAATCTCACTTTTGTCCAAGTTTTATCGATGAGTATCTTCTGAATCTTGTCGGATGTGAAGAGCTCTGGGTGGAAATACCCATCAAATCTGCCAAACCCATTACTTTAATTATTGGCATCCTCTACCGCCATCCCAATTCGAATTATCATGAATTTTTCAGTAAATTACAAAACAGCTTGCATAACTTAACTAATGATGGGAAAATTTTTATTATTGTGGGTGATATAAATATTAATCTTAACGCTAAAACACTTTGAATGGGGCCCCAGATCTTAAAACCATCAGTTGTTACGTCACTATATAGCCTGAAATTTGAAAATCGAAACTGGCGCTGTTTGCTATTGACCGTCTTGATCTGTGTAGGTCTTCATGTCAAATTTATCGGACATCGGCAAGAGAAATCAACAATATAGCGTTAGAGATGAGTTGTATAGGGGATTCGCAATGTTTTTCACACTGATAATGGGATATATTCGCAACCGTGAAGATATTGAGGTAAGTTACCATGATTTTGTTTGGTCTACAAAATTCTGATATTTCTGTGTTGATAATTAATAATATCACAATATTTTTTTTTTTCATAATAACATAATCTCACATGGAGCCGATTTCAATAATGTAATGTATTTTTTTATTCTAATGATTTTTCCAGGTACCGGTATACGGTTTTGTCACTTATTATAGCCTGAAATTAAGTCTTTGCCTCAGTAGTGTTTTGTATTGTTCTGCCACCTTCAGGTCACTAGACCGCATACGTGAAACAAACTGCATACGGACGTTGTTCGCTTTATGAATGATAATCTATATATGCATTTCTCTCTCATGGGATAATTAGCGAAAAAAACTTGTCAAGTTATGGGTTTCTTTATGTTCTAAAATGTGTTAGCGAACATGACGAATTTGCGTAATACCAGATGCGTCCTCCACCCGGCGTAATAGCAGCTGACTTACTACAGAAAATGCCTTCTGTTCATTTTAGCTTTTCGTGAAAAAAATGCCAAATTATGTCTCAAGGGAAACTGCAAGTCTAAAGATATCGATTTGTGAGATTAGCGCCCATGTTACAAAATAGAACATTTCGGTCTTGCCCAGCGCTTCTATCTAAAACACATCCATAGTTAAGTATTTTTTTATTTCTGTTTAAGCTAGGCGATACGAATAATGCTACAAACATCGCCGGATGAGAACAGAACAGGCCTACGTCACAATTTCGAGTGTTGAGAAAAACGCAAAAAAAAAAAATTTTGAATTCCGTTATTTTTGAATTTCTAGATATTCACACTTAGTAAGACCTGAGCTCTGGTTATTTCAATGTGGATGAGGAAATCTTTGTAATCGATTTATGTTGGCACTTCCTTTCTGTTTTTCACCCCCCAAAAAGAACTTTAGCCCATTCTGTTTTCAACAACTTTCGAATTTTTTTGTATGGGATGCAAGGTAAAACAAGGTGACTTGAGCCTAAGTTGCACTGAACAAATTCTTAGAGATGAAAATTTCGAAATTTCTCAAAAATGTGACTTAGGCCGCTTCTGTTCTCATCCGGCTATATGGTAACACATAGCATGAGCTACGGTTTTTTGAAGATGGCAACATATTTTGGGTTGTTGGGTTCTGAACCCAGTCCAAGCAGGTGAAATTCTAACAATTTGTATAATTTACCTGCTAGGACCGGGTATGCAGGATAGCTCAAATTCAACACAAAATATGTTGCCATCAGTGTGAGCAACCCTTTGATAACATCTTCGCTGTCGACTTGTACAAAAGTTTTATTGTCTACTACCACAGCAGGCATGCCGGCAGCTTCTCGAGTTCCGGGAAACGCGAGGTAAGGCTGACGTTGGGTTGCCTTAATGCCATCTTCGCCAAATTTGGCCACTGCTTGGAGAGCGGGGCCACTATATAAATGTTCCATCAGAGTAAAGATGTTTTCGGCCGCATTTTGGTGACCTATTTTAGCTTCCGCAGCTGCTTCAAAAACTCTGAATCTTTTTTTGGTAATGGTCACATATTCGTCAATATTTATGACCTTTTTCTTTACCAAGTAGGCCATATCTTCGATAAGCTGTAAAAATATGAAAACCGTTATTAATATCCAAATACTTATAGACGTATGACCTACCTAATAAACTGAAATTTACTATATCAGACGTACAGAAATCTTCTTAAAATTTGACATCGTATTTAAACAGAATTATTGAAAAATAGACTTTAATAGCCCTCTGATTTGTGACAAATGATTTTCATTCATTGTGGATATTAGATAAGTGGACAAAAATATGCACTCACCACATAATAGTTTTGGTATTCTGGAAAAAGACTTTTTGTGCGCTCTGATCTTTTCCTTCCATCAAAGGCAGAGATGGCTCCGATTCTCTCCATGATTCTATTTGTTTTCGGTGTCGACTTTTCTCTCTTTTGTCGACTCTCTGATAAATGTTTTAAATTTTGTAAAGTTGCCTCTTGGCTGTTAGCCCTCTTTCTTAAATGGTATGCCAATTCGAAGAATCCACCTTGGTGGATACCATCGTCTATTTTCAGGATCGGATATTCTAGCACCAAGTTTTGTGCTATGCCAAGTCGTTCCTGTCTGTTTGGCTTTCTGTCCATTAATTGATAGCATATGGAATATATATGTCTTGTTACGGCTAGATACAAGGCTTTGCTCAGGGGCGATTGTGCGCTATTGAGGCAGTTTTTAAAATCGGTGCATATAGGAAAGGGGGTAGGAATTGGACTTGGGTAATGGATAGGAGAAGAGCTTGGAATTTCGATATTATCAGGTTTTGCGGGTGTAGAGGTGCTTTGGTGAAATTGCTCGTCAATTGCTGGGATGGGTGTGGGTGGTGTGAAATTGCTGCCTTCCGAAGAGTTCTGTTCTGGATTATCTGAGCAAAGGTCTAGAACCGGCAGCGTGTCATCCGAGGAATACAAGAGATCTAACATCTCCCCCCGCTGTTGTGGAGTTGTCTGAAATATCAAAATTTATATTTATTGCTTTGAAACAGCCTTTTTAGACTTTGCCATTGGCGCGATTTTACGTAGATACGCCTCTGGTGATAAGTGCATATTACACTTCCAAAGCGAAATTACGGTCAGCAAAATATATTGGAATCTGCTATCCACAATGACTTGTTACATGCCGGGAGACTCGATATTTTTAATAGTTCTGTTTAATACGATGTCAGTTTCCAAACATAATTAAACCAGTGTGGATTACCTATTTTGTGATGCGATTAAGCATATCAAATAATGCCTCTATTATTTCCAGGGCGATGAAAAGGGAGTCTGAAATATTATATACATCTCACATTACAAAATCAAAGTAGCCTACCTTGGGTGGTTGGCATAGGCACTCTTGCAACATTCGTCTGTCTCTAAACGGCAAGTCGCTAAAAAGACCGTACACTTCCTGGAGGTTTAGAGGTAAGTCCTCGATTTCAATTCTGGCATCTGAAAATGATGTTCATCTTATTACTTCTGAATGCCTCGTTTAAAACTGACATAGGCGCGACTCTCCATAATTTTAATATTATACATTGCTTAAAATTAAATATGAATAACAATAATCCACCTTTAAATGTTACTATTCTTTTCGAGAGTTTTTATTAATCACTTTCGTTGTTCTGTCAAAAAATGTTACTTATTTTAACCTTAATGAAGTTATTTAAAAGTATTGTGGGGAGATGGTTATAAATAGAAATTACGAGAAATATTTTTGCGCATTATAAATATCGTTTTAACTTTAATTCGGAAGCATGGTAATAAAATAGAACTTCCTATTGAAACTTCGCTAGCATAAGTGGTCCTTGCAATGTACTAAAAAAGGCTTGTATACGCGGAAGTTTTCGTTTTAATAATTTATTTTATCGGGCTTCGAAGTTTAAATCGCTTGCAATGCGGAGTTGGAACAAATTTTTTTGTTTTAAGTACCGTAAGTTTTAATAATAAATTTTTTTGACCGCGCAAAACCCTGCGAGCGCAAGAATTCATTATAACCTGACTCACCTTGGATCCTACGAACGAAATCCGGGCTGAGCCCACAAGCGATGGCGTGTGCTTCCATGGCTAGAAAAGTTGAGAAAGAACGATCTATACCGCACGTGGTCTTAGTTCTAACAATCTATTGTGATGCAACTTGCTCTTGCGACACATTAACTTTGCTTTACATTCATACTTGTTCATGCAAAACTCGGTATTACATTTTTGAAGACGCCCTCTGTGACATAACAAGATGCTTTCGTCGCACGCGCTGGATAATAAGATATCTCAAATTTCGTTCTGAAGTTGGTACACGCATTTGTAAATACGATTCGTGATATAAATTAATCAAGCACCTATTATGTACATCTCGATTTCAGTCCAGAATATTGTATTGGGGTGCTCCCGATGTATGTGTACCAAGATGGCGCACAACCTAAAAAATAGTATTGTACCAGGTTAGGATTCAGGTTGTGCGTCATCTTGGTACTCATACTTCCGGAGTAGGGGCATTAATCCATAATTTGATTTCTAATATATACAGTAACGTAAAATAGCTTTAAATTTATTATAAATATACCGCTATTCGGTAAATATTATTCATGGAACTATACAAGTGCCGATCGTGCGTTTTGAATAGAAACGAGGATTATTTTTCAACTTCTATCGTGATATACCACTGCCATCTACGTCAACACTCAAGAACTGGTGTTCCCTATATATACTATTGCCAACTGGATTTATGCACAAAATTTTCTCATCATACAAAACATTGAAACGCCACTGCCAACGATCTCACGCGGACTTGGTGTGCAGTTACAAAGAATGCAATGAAGATCCTGATATCCCTGATAAATCTAACATTCAAGAAACGGACTCTGTGGCAGAAATTCATGATGTATCTGCAACTGGAACTATCGGTAGTTCGAATGAATGGCAGAGAGATGCAGCATTATTCATTCTACAAATTCGAGAAGTACACAATTTGACTGAGGTGAGTATGTTGACTGTTAATGTCAACGCTTCAAAATTCATTATACTGGGTGGATGATCCCAGGAGAGGACTCAATCCCTTTTATCGGGCTTCCTCGAGTATCTTATTATGACTAATATGGCTTGCGAGTTATTTGCTTTCACTTTGATAAATATTTTGTTGTATTTCTACCAGCAATTAGAAATGGATTGGGAAGTTGATTCATTTAGCTTATAATTATTTTTTTAACTACAGCAAGCGACTACCGATGTTATAAGAAAAATGGAGCACTACATGAAGTCTCTGTATCGACATATCATTGATCAAGTGAGGCAGAAGTTTCCACCTGACGTATTCGACAGATTCAAGCAAGTCGTCGATGAGGCAGCCGGGCCAATAATCAACCAGTTTTCCTCAGTTTCGACGTCTTATATGCAAGACAGATTCCTGGTAAACAATTTTAATATGATTCTGCCAGAAGCAGTGGTCATAGGAACGTCATTGGATTTCAAAGAAACTCAAAAAGACAGGCGAGTTATTGACAGGCCCCACATTATGCAATACATTTCTCTTGAAAAAACGCTGAGAATTCTATTCCAGGATGCATCATTTTTTGAAATGTATGAATCCTACAAACTGCAGGATAATGTCACGGGTATCTTGACGGACTTCAAAACAGCTATTGTCTGTCGTCGCCATAAAACATTTTCCGCGGATGTAGGAGCTATACAAGTTCTTTTATATTTCGACGACGTGGAACTCTGCAACCCTCTTGGCAGTAAGGTCCGCAAACATAAAATATCATTTTTCTATGTGTCTTTTGCAAATCTCCATCCAGAATTACGATCCCGTTTTTCTGGTATACACCTTCTAGCTATTGCGCTTACAGATGATCTTAACAAGTTTGGTATTGATAAAGTACTAGAACCGTTTTATTCTGAAATTGAACTCTTGAGTGAAAAGGGAATGAAATTCGTTACTGCCAATGGAAAGATCAAAACTTTGAAATGCGATTTGGCTTCTGTAATAGCTGATACACCAGCAGCGCATCAAATTTTAGGTTTAAAAGAGGGAGTGGGATTCGCCTATAGGAAATGCATGGCTATAAACGAAACGATACAGACATCACATAGAGAGTGTGATTTCACTCTTCGGAGTTGTGCACAGCATTTATCTCAATGTCAATACCTCAACAAAACTACATCGGTAGCTTATGGTATTAATCGTAAATCGACTATTTTTGATCTCAAAAACTTCGACCCATTCACCAGCGTACCGCAAGATGCAATGCATGTCATCTTGGAAGGGTGCATTCCCTACACTCTGCAACAATTATTACAACATTTACTCCGGGAGAAACAATTGACATTGCAATTTATAAATCAGCGCATAGAAAAGTTTCCATATGGTTATCTCGACCGTACCAAACAAGCCTAGTCCTATTATCGTCACAAGGCCAAATGGGGAAGTGAAGCTACGACAATCTGCTTCTCAAATGTGGCTGCTCGGTCGAATTTTACCGTTTTTGTTAGGCGATACTGTTGATCTAGAATCTGAGCCATGGCAGTGTTTTGTAACGCTTTTAGAGATTACCAGCATTGTTTTATCTCCGGTTATTTCCGAGAACATTCTTCCTTATTTGGGACATTTAATAGCACTGTACTTGCAAGATTTTCGAAGTTGCTTCCCGGAGGCCAATCTCATCCCAAAACAACATTACCTTGTGCATATTCCTTCGGATATATATAATCTTGGACCATCATCCAGAATGTGGTGTATGAGATTTGAGGCTAAACATTCGTTTTTTAAGGGACTTTCGAAGTCGAAAACGGCATCTTTCAAAAATATCACCAAACATCTGGCTTTCAAACATCAAAAAAATTTTGCTATGTTACTTGCCAGTGGCCAAGCGTTTTATCACACTGAAACTCTCGGACCTACCCTAAAAGTCGATTGGTCAATGTCCGATGAATTAACATCGTATTTAACTGAGAAGCGAATAACTAATATTGTTGCGTGGGTTAAGCCGAAAGGTTGTATTTTTCGTCCTGGATGTTTTGTCGTGTATAGCGTATTGAACGATATGCCCGTTTTCGCCGAAGTGTTAGCAATTTCAAAATTTTCAACGATTTTGTTTGTTGTTCGTGAATATTGCACTAAAGGGGTGGATGAAAATTTGAATGCATATTATATAGAAAAGGGACAAACTTTAAGCCTTATTTATTATCGAGAACTATTATATTTCGATGCTATGATGTCGTACAGTCTGCTAGAAAATATCTTTTTACCTATCAAAGTTGATTTATCAGGATGCGTGGATCAATATTTGAAACAGCGTCTTCTGCTCTGAATCACAAATAAAAATTTGTTAACAGAGCCCGAACATGTTCTATGACTATTTTTATCAATTTTTTAACTGTTAAATTTTATGACTTCTAATCTTGAAGGTGTGTTTCGTAAAATCTCGAATGGTGTAGTCATTCAAGTTGAACTGACGTCATATGGTTTCTATATCGATAAAAATTATATGTAAACGACTATTTTTCGTGTACGAGAAAGGGAAATATTATTGTCCCGATTGTTTACTTTATTCGCAGTAAACTTTATAGCCACGTTCGTAGCATATCAATTTCAGATAAATTATTGTTAATCGAGGCGGATAATTAATAACCGCAGTGGGTGACATTGTGACGCACAGTACACCCGGTGTTACGGCCTATAATTTGCCACGTGAGGCGCGACATCAAATGTCCATATATATTCCAATCGGTGTGTTATTGTGACGATTACAATTGGATTCTTGTGGCTAATAAAGTGACGGCGAATTATCGTTTAAAATCGCGACAAAATATTTCCGTTTTTTTGGAACGTACTTCACCGTTATTTTTTTCAGTGTAGGGCTGGCTGCTTGCGTAGCAAAACCATCGTAAATAGCAGCAAAAAGTTTTTTTCGCATATTGACCCATTAAAAAGCTATTTAGATGTATGAGGCACCAAGTTCGTTTCTGAATATCATGAAAATATGATTTTATGTCATTGATTCAAGACACAAAGTTGCAGATTTAGTACACCAAAGTCTCAGCAATCTTAAAGTTTGGCACAATGCACTTATTTTCCACCCAGAGTTTAATGTGCAGATCATCTGATGGTTCCCACTGTCGTTGGGCGGAGATGGGTTGGCCAGACTTCATAGCAACAAGCACCATTTCCAAAATTGTAATTAACTCTGGATCGTAGCAAAGCAGAAAATATGTTGATGTTCATGTCTCAGGGTGGTATGAGACTAGTACACACCTTGTAGCATTTGCACAATGCATTTGGACTTGAGTCTGTATAACATGAGTTTTGTCCACCTTGCTAATCTTGTTGAGCTGCTCGAGTCTTGATCTCTACAATATAATTTTGGTTACAGGTAATGCCATAAGGACTCGCCCCAAACACACCACGAGAGAAAAATCCTTATTGTTCACACGAAATACCTGAAAGTGAACGACAAATTAATTCACTAATTATTTAAAAAAGGCATAATTGTAGATGAAAAAAACAATACCAAATTTCTCCCTTGCTATCGATTCATGTTCAATGCCACGACAGAACTTCTGAAAGTTTTTTTTTTCTTCCCATTCATCCTGGTATCAGCATCATCCAAGCTTCGTCCATTTCTTTATTTCCATATATTCCTGTAAGATTAGGTCAAATTAATTGAGATAATCTCAATTTGCCCCAGACACTGTCTTGTGTTTTCCTTACATTAACCAAAATATCCAGTCGAGCGTTTTTACATAATGATTTTCATTCATGATTTTCATTGATCTTGGGTTGGGAGACTGCACTTAGAAACCAAGTCCAAGACACCGAAAAACTTATATATTTCATATTATATACTGAAGTCATAATTTGTTCCAGGTATTTTAAACATATTAGCCATGCTAAAAATGATGGCATAGTATCAAATTGCAATGAGAATATTGTTTTTACATTTCCTTCAATCTAAATTCCCTGGTGATAATTTAACTGCGAACAAACTAATTACATGTGAAACTATGTTACGAAACCCTGAAACAATTACACACTAATTAAAGATCCGCAGATTGAAGCAGTAAACAAGCCCTGTCTCAATTTAAACCACTCCTGTAACCTTTGCTTGACATCGTAATACTTAATAATTTCCTGTCGTCTCGGAGGGATTGTAGAGGCAAACGAGTTCAATATCTGGCATTGCGGATTGTGTAACGAACTAACGATCTATCATTTAAATCTGTGCTAGATCCCGGACAACAATCATGATCTTGTTCAGTAGCTGACCCTATATATCTATCGATCAATGTAAGATACATTCCAGATTTTCTCATTTTTAAATTCCGTGACATTGTTCTCATAAAATGAAGCTCCACTTCCTCTTTGCTTATGCAAGATTTAATCTCTTTCACTTTTTGAGGAATATCTTTCGATCTGATTCTTGTGTTTTTAATTACACTTCGTCGTCTGACTGGTGTAACCTAACACATACAACACAATGACTGAACTACAAACTTAATACCAAATTCTGTTAACATGTGACTGTATCCACATGCATACAACTTGTTTTTATTAACAGCTGTAATAGCTATTTTAGACCAATGTGGTTCAGATATAAATTAGTAGTAACATTCTATACTGGAATAAAATTGCTTTTGTTGCAGCATTTTGATGATCTCAAAGTTGATTGCTGGCGGTCAGTGCAAATTACCAAACAGACTTACCTGTATATCCGTGATGGGCTGAATTGCGATGCAGCTCTTCCTGAAATGTTTATGCC